ATCCACAGTGTTGTAACAGATACACAATGTTGCAACACTGTTAAACTCCCCTGAGGGAGGTACCTGAGCATTCCCACCTGAATATATTCATTAATGTATTGAATTCTGTGTTTCAGACACTTCCTCCACCCCAGACACATTAGGACTGAAACCATCACTTTACCCAATGGATATCAAAATTGAAACAATCAAGTCTCCTCACTGGATTAATGGATGACTGTGTATCTTCCAACTCTAATCCTTTATTTCTGTTTCTTTTCCATATGTACTTTTCTTACTTTTGTACTCAATTTTATTTCACTTTCCTTACTTTTACACTTTCCTATTGCTAGATTTCTTAGACAATAGCAAAAATGGCTATCAAAATATGTCTTTTCCATTGCAAACAAATTTGTTCTAAAATCATTATAAATATATATATGTATTTATATATAAGTAAATCTCTACCCCTGCAACCCATGGAGGTCTACAGTGGAGCAGAGATTGCCCTGCAGCCCCTGAAGAAACCCAAGTTGCAGCAGGTGGGTGTGCCCTGGAGGAGGCTGCAGCTCACAAAAGATTGGGTTTTTTGGCAGATGTGACTCTGCAGGGGACCAGGCATTCCTGAATGGCTGCAGCCCATTGTAAGAAGCCATACTGGAGAAACTCTTGGAGAACCACACCCTGTAGGAAAGACCTGCTCTGGAGCACTTTGTGAAGGACTGTGTCCCATGGCAGGGACCGCATGGGGAAGAGAGTGAGGAGGAAGGGGCAGAGATGAAGCACTATGAGCTGACCACAACCCCTGCTCCTCACCCCTCCCACACTTGTAGAAGGGAGGAGGTAGAAAAAGTAGGAGAGAAACTGAACCTAGGAAGAAGGGTAGGAGAAAGGGTTATGAGTTTTATTATTTTTTCTCACTGTATTAGTCTGTTATAATTGGTGATATATTACATTAATTTCTCCAAGTGGAATCTGTTTTGCTTCTGACAGTAATTAGTAAGTGACCACCCTGTCCTTAGCTCCACTCATGTGCTTTTCACCTTCACCATATATTCTTCCCTGTCTCCCTGTGATAGAGCAGACTAGAACATTGGTGGACAGCTGACAGGCCAGTCAAGGTGAACTCACCACAGAGGGAGTAATGTTAAAGGACATACCCTCATACAAATTTACCTTCTCTTGTATTAGCAACTACCTCAAATAGTAAGATGCCAGTCAAGTGTGACACAAGCAATAGACCCTGCACAGCTACTCTGTAAAGAAAAATGTTCTCTGTAAAGAAGAACCTTCCTCTGCCAGAGTCACCGGCCTTTTAGAACCAACTTTTTCAATGCACAAACTTTGAAAGCATCAAAGTGCAGATTTCATTTTGTCATATTTAGTGTTGTCATTATAGCTCCAAATCACAAAATTCTCTCTAATGCTTCTGTACCAATATATTTAGTATTATTAGAAGAATACAGATTCATACCCCTAAAAACCAAAAAAGCCAAAGTAAGGCACAGTGGTATCAGGACATGCTTTGGGAGATTGTTCCTGGAACAGTGATGCACCAGTGTTTTGTGCTGATTGTGCAGATGCACACATGCACTGAATCAATGGAGTCAACATTTTCCAGACATACTACATCCAGAAATAGTTATTTGCTGGGCATTTCATAAGGATGAAAGGAGCTATAGCCAAAACCAATATCTGATTTTTACACTAGTGTGGAACAGGCAATTCCTCTTCTGGCCTTTTATTATTTAAAGAAATAAATATAGGGAAGAGTGTTAAATTACTGGGCATTATCTCTTAAAGTGGTACTTCTCATATCCTTGAAACTAAGAGGGACATATTGACAATGACATATCTTCACAGTCTGCAGCTTCTCTAATTCCAGTTTACTTTAGGTATGTCAAAGGTTGTCTTCTTACCAAGTACAGCCCCACAACCCCAGCCCAAAAAAGAGGTAACCTGGTGTTTCCTTTTGTCTGTAACCTGGGACACTTTCTGATACACAGGATATGAAGAGAAAATGGCTTTCCAGCCATCCCTTATACTTACTTCTCCCAACCTTTAGTATGCCTTCAGAGTATTCCTCTGTAAGAAGAGCTGCACAGAAGGAGATGTAGGTGATAGCTGTCCTGGGCATCATTCTTGCAGGATCCAGGTGGCACTGAAGAGAATGCGCTCTGAAGTTTATGCAAAGTGAGCACAGCTTCCCTGCAAACTATCCTAGTACCTGGTGTGAATTACTTCTTAGAGGGCCACAGCTCACTACCCTCACTTAACACACTGAACCAAGTATAATTCACATGAGGAAAATTGATCACATACAAACTCAGACACTGGCTCAACCAGTTTACTCCAGTAAAATACAGTAACAGAAAAAGTTTCAGATTTCATGAGGTAGAACATTATTTTACCTTTTAAACAACCATACATAAAATCATCTATCATAATGCATAATAGACATAGTAACTCAGTCTTGTATCTTACTCATGTGTTAGGTCTAATATATTCATTGGCACGTGCTGATATATATGAACTTACTGTTTTTACACCTATTTATGTCAATTGAGTTCAATTCTTTTAAACAATAGCAAAAGAAGGGCCAAATCCATAGATCTGAATAACCTGTATCCTTTAAAAATGCAATTTCACCAAACTCTTGTGGTGTAAATGAGCTGTTTGGTTGATTATAGACATGGTTGCTGCACTATGGCACACAAGATGACCACAGACTAGCAGCTGTATCTTTCTATTTTTAGTTCATTTTCATTAAAATTTATATGTAAAGTAATTTTGATAATTATAAAAAAAATACTATACATTTGTGATGCACATCCAACAGTGACAACACACTGACCACACAGCAGAGCAGGCTGGTAAAACTTCGGCTATAAAATTGCATTTCATATGAGAGCTTTCAGAAAACATAAGTTTATACAATATGTCGAGTAACATATGGGCCAGTAATCAGTAATAAGTCCATTAGATGTAATAAACGGTATGAAACATGCAGGCATCCGGGGTGGGATCTACAGTTTTGAATTAGGTGCTTTCTGCCCCATATATTCTGCCTTGGGAGGACAGTCTGGACATCTAGTAAATTGAGCAAGTGATTAGGGAGTCTCTGTGACACCCCATGCCTGGGCTGCAGGCAGGCGCCTGCCCATGCTCCAGCTCTGAGCCTGGCTTCAGTGAGCAGGTGAAACTGTACTTGTGCTTTGTTGGGAGGCAATGAGGGATGAAGACGTCCTGCCCTCCCTGCAACTTCTTGTTTCCTGCTCCTTGTAACAGCGTGGAAACTTTCTCACCGCAGCACAACAGAGTAATTCCAGTGCTGAATGCTTCAGATATCAAAGAGGTGACGTGGTGCTGTGCAGAGACAGGGACCCTGTGCTTTCACCAAGCACAGAGCTCTGCTGTTGCAACTTGCTGTTTCCTTTCTCTTGACTAGAAGTCTGGAAGACAATGAGGACAATCATCATTCTTCTTTCTTGCTTTGGACACACAGGAGTGGGAAATTACATGCAGGCTTTCTCAGGCTGTGAGAAGGACTGAACCCAAGTCTCCCACAAGTTGACTGAGTGCTTTTGTTATCCAGTGAGTGCTGGCTGCTCCTTTCTCTCTTGAGACAAACGAATTGACCACATCAGCATTTAGATGAGAATTTGATCCTGACAACAAGTAGTCACGTATATTTGGAGGGTAGCACATAGGTGGGAGCTGTGCATCATATAAGGCAGAGATTCAGAGCTCAGCACTGAGAGCTGCAAAAGGATTTCCGATTCAGAGCTCTTTTAAGACTTTTAAGTCAAAGAAAGATATGCCCAGGGCTGAAATTGAAAGACAGTATCTACAGACCTCAGTCTTACATTTTCATGGCGTAGCTCCACTCTAGTTCTACTTTAGCCATGAAAGCCCTTTATTTGGTGTAGTTCATGCTTTCATCTTGACACAGATAATTGGATCTTTCAGTTAGGATGAACTAATAGATAGAATCACTGATTTTTGCAGATATTTGACCTTTTAAACAAAAGATTTTAAAAAAGCAAAGTAGAGACTATGACATGTTCTTATTAGATTTTATGCTTTATATTCATACTCAAACATATCAGGAACTCTAGGACAAATGTAACCTCTGATGTCTTGGTGATGTTGTAGCCATTGTCCTTCCAAAATTGGGGATGTCCATTAATAAATGCTCACTGAAGAAAGGGTCAATGTCAGGATAGGCACATATAGGCTTTGTTCCTCAAAAAGAAAAAAAAATAGAAGGGAGGAAAAAGTGTTCTTCATTGACAGAATTCTTAAACTGTCCCCTCAGTTTTATGCAAATTATTATTATTATTTTCAGGATCTCAGTATTAAAAATTTTGCAGGCTTAAAGGAAAATGTTATATACAGTGGAAAATAGAAGCTACATAATTATTAGTAGATTAAAAATAACTTACCCATGAATACATAGTTAAAAAAAGAATAAAAGAACATGCAATTACTAGAGCTCTATTTATTAATACTTTCTGGCCAAAAATCACTTGGAAACAAATTGGCAGAAAACCAAAACTCCCTGCAAGTGCAAGTACAAGACAGCAAAATTAACACAACCTTGAGTTCATTTTAGCTGTGAATAGTTAAAAAAAAAAAAATCAGCAAAAACCACACAACAAACAAACTAAATCCAGCCCAAAAATCTTTCTTTCAACATGTTTATTCTTTCTTCATTGTGTACTTTTCCCCCCCATTTAAAGACAAGCATTTGAAAAGCTAAATTGCTTGGGACTACTTAATATTTTCAAAGAGAAACACTTAGATTACACACAAGATCCATAATTCCAAACTATAACCACAATATTCAATCAACTTTTGTCACTTAGAGCAACTCTTGTCTAAAGAACCTCAAACACTATCAGTGATTTATGTCCAGTTTGAATCTCAGTCTTATGTCTGTTCCTATACACTTTCAAAACCTTACTACAACCAGAGAAGCAGAAAGTTACGCCTTTCTGTCAACTTTGTGCCCTCCTAAATCTTTTCTGGGTTCACAGAATTTGCAGCTTGTAGGGCTCCTGAGTGAGAAGTGATTTTTCACAATTTAGAAGGCTTCAGGTATTCACCTTCCATTAGTTTGTTTAATTTTCATTAAAAAATGAAATGAAATGTTAGGTGGGAAATGTCAGGTTTCACAGGAACCTGTGGTGAAGAATTTCCACCGTGTAATTACCTATAGTGTATGCAAGATTCATCTCCTCTGATTGTCCTGACTTGCCCTTTTCTGGATATTCTCTAAACCTATGACAAACTTTCTGAAAGCAAAAGAAAATAGACCCACTACAGATTTACATGACAGTAAAATTATTTTCTCTGCATCCTTTCCTAATACTTTCCAAAGTTAGCATGCTTTTTTGATCACTAAGTAGATTTTGTCACGAAACTTTCTGTTATAAACTGAAGTCCAAGTCCAGACCCATTACTGTCAGCTCTGACCATTTATTTTATATTTTCCCTATGAACTCGAGGGGAAAGGAGAGCAAAGTCTCCTTTCCTGATGTCCTGTGTACATCAGTCTGTATTTATTTTGTTAAATTTCATCTATACTTTTAGTCCCCAAGTACATAGTCCCACAAAGTTCTTCTGCAGTTCTGCACAGGTAACTCCATGGTTACTGTCCCACTCCCCTTGGTTCTGCCATCAAAATTTGTCATCTCTTGTATACACCTTTGCCAAATCAGAGAAGTTTCCTAAGTTTGTGGCAGTCAGCTGTCAAGCACATCTGCACAGTCATGCAGAAAAGGGACAAATGCTACAGAGATAGCAGAGCTACAGAGGAGAACAATGACACAGTCACAGATTTGAATTATTTGTTCATACATTCATTGGAGTCTCGATTCGAGGAGACTGACAAGGGAGAGATGAGATAAAATCACTCTTTTGGAAAAAGTCATCTCTAAGCCATGGTTTTGTTCATTAAGTAAAATTCCTGCAAGGCATATCTGTTGATAATATTTTAATGGGTTTAGATTTTAATACAGTTTCAGCAAGTCACACTTAAATCAATTTGGAGCCCCTCTATCAGACTTAAGTGAAGAAATACATCATCAAGTAGCTACTTTGTTATTATTTTCATAGCAGAACTACTACAGCAGATTACAGGAATTGCTACCATGCACACTTGTCTAGAGTACATAAGAATTGAGACACCTCAATACACTGTATTGTTACCAGAAATAACACATAGACCCACAGCAGCTTTTCAGTATTCTTCATTGTGACAGGAGGCAGAAACATTCTCCCAGTTATTCATTATTTTTTTATTTATTTACATGCTAATATACTAACACACAGGCACTGTCCAGAAATGATGTTGCACTTGCCACAGTCAGACCCTCCTTCTGGCAAACCAGAGCTAGCCTGTGGGCTGTGTGTCTTGGGTCAATAAATTCTGATGCTGCTGGACATACGGACACGAGGAGGGTATGTACCAGATACAGCTGCTGCTTCTTGCTAATGCCTGGCTCCTTGAGCTTCCCAAAGTCAGCACACAGAAGGATGGCATAAGAAATTCCCAAGTAATATAAAAGTACTATCATAAAAATAGTGCTGCAAAAGTGCTTTTGGAGCAGTGCCTAGCACACGACCTGCAGATAACAGAGCATGAGAATTGCTGGGGAGGGACATAAGCAGGAGCAGCTGTGGTCCAGAACAATTGGTTTGCACCACAAACATTTTTTTTCATCACCCCAAAGCTGTAGCACTCCAAGGAGGAAGGGAAAGTAAAAGACTCCAGGGCTATTTAAATTTTTGAGGAACTGTTCTGGGGTACTCTTGCTTTCTGCATATTAATGCAACCTTTTCCTGGCAACCTTTGGGCCATATAATACATTCTGCACTGCCTCTGCATGCATGCCATACCAGCTGGTTTTGTTTTTGTATTTCAGGTGGCACTTGATGTGCGGCCTGCCAAATGCTCCTGAAAGGTTAAGTTGGGCTTTGACAAGGGAAATAACCTCATATTAATCATTGTCCCAATTTTTCTCTCCATCCCCTGCTGTAGTTTTTAGCACTGAAATAACAACATAATTGAAATGCAAATAGATAAGGCAGAAAACAGTAAAAATACCTATTTTCTTTTAGTTCATTGAATTTCCAAATAAATGCAAGAACATTACGTGACTTAGAAAACAGCAAGTAGCTTTGGACCAAGTTATGTCATGGTAGTGTATGCCCACTGAAAATTAGGAAACCATTTCCTAGGCCACCTTACTTTGCTGCTGGCTGTATGCTCTGAAGTAACAGCACAGTTGTGCACTCTGCTGTGTAATCTGCACCAAATGCAGATTATCATTTGAGCTACAGCAGTAGCCAAAACACCTTCACTAAAAGCTGTTCATGAGTCCATAAATCAGAACCTATTCCTAAATTGCCAGAACCTTAGTTAACCCAATGTGAATTTTGTGACAGAAAGTTGCAGGTTGTCAGTGAAGTAAAATTTTAAGGTGCTTCTTTAAACACAGTGATCTTGGGAGCAGTGAGGAATCACAGGTGACTAAACTGAATGCCTGAGAGGAATGTTGCCCTCTCTGTCCCCTCCTATAGTATGCCCATTGTTGGTAAAGCTTGTCTTCCTTTTGTTGGTGTTCATTGTGGAGAGAAATGCACTAGTTATTTACTGGTGGAAATGAGATGGCAGTAACAAGCAATGGAAGACAGTGTTGTTTTTCATTTTGTATTGATGCCCTTCTACAGAGGCATGTATTTCTCATATTATTCTTCTCAAAGCCCTTATTGTTCTGGCTTCCTGTTACAAATCAAGCTGGTGATGGCAGCCCCATGAAATCCCATTAGCATACTGAGAGCAGTGTATTACAGTACCAGGCAATAGAATAAATGCAGAACAATAAGTATAATAGGGAATACATTACCCCAAAATGGAACAGCCCCTCTGTACTGAACTCCAGTTCTATGAAGGTGCCTTCTCCAGTGTTTAAAATCAAACAAACAGCATTTTTAGGGTTCAGTTGCACTGCCAAGTAAAATCTATCCTGTTCAAACCAAGGGAAACAGAGATACAAAAGGTGTTATGCTACATGTCCAGGTGCAGCCATCCATCTCTCCCTGTTCATGGACTCTAATTTTAATGTCTTTTGACTTCCAGATATAAAAAGCTTATTATTTTTTGATATACAGATGCAACTGGACCCTGCAAACAGCTGAACTTACTTTAGAGTCTTATTCTTTGCTTGGCTGGCATCAACACAAGGGTGTGATGGCAGCCTTCAGAACACAGGTTGCCTTTAGAAGAACCAGAGCTTGTGCAGCCTGAGCTAGAAGGAACATTGCTAGTTTGTAGCCAGTCAAGCAACAGTCTGCCGTGGATGAGCAAGAAGACAGGTGACACATCAGCACATGCCAATACCTCAGTCAGGCTGGCAGCTCTCAGGGACAGGACTGCAAATCTCTTAATCTCTGCAGCTCTCCTCAGGTGGTCTTAAAGGTCTCGAAGTGAAGGTAGGTACACTTGGCAGCTGCAAGACACTTTTGGGGAAAAAGGGACAAGCTGACTAGGATAAGGAAAAATTCTGCAGAGGAACTGGCATTTACCTTTGCCTCAGACAAGGACTGTAAAAGCCTCTTCAAAGACGTGGATTCCCACTACCTGTCAAATACTGGGTGCGTTCAAAGGTGGGAAAGCAGCTGTGTTTTTCCAGAATGAAAAAGATGATCAATCTGATAGACTTTTAAGAAAAGCTGTCAAACACTATAAAAAAGCAAACCAGACTATGTATTGGCATACTGTTTCTGATGACTAATCACTTTCTAGTTTTAAATATAGGTTTTAATTCTAAAAGTGAAAAAAGAGAGTTCATATTTTTTTCATGAGAGCTTCTGCATTAGTAACTTGCAATGATATAATGATATGGACTATAATTTTCTCTCAGAAATGGTTTAATTTTTAAGTGTGTCTGTGGCTTTGTGAGAAGATCCACAGGGTCTCTTAGACCAGCAAGTCTGCAGTTAGATCTGGGCACTCTCTTTGCAGATGAGCAAAAGAGTAAAATATTAAATGAGATCCTCACAAAGAAGATTTCTACTGGGACAAACATTTGCAAGTTTGGTTGTGTGGCTGGATATAGCTGAAATGCATTTTCACGGGTCCTAATGCTTAAAGTTCATGTTACTTGGTGTATTCTTCTGTCATATCCTTTGTAAAATTCAAATATCAAATGGGGAAAAAAACCAACTTGAAAACCAAAAGAAAAGAGGTGATGGTGTGCAATATCTTTGTTCCATTTTTCCAAATAAGTTAGGCCTGCTCTGACATGAGGAAAAACAAGGTCTTCGTGAATTAGGCCAAAGGTGGGAATGGGCAAGGAACTTGAACATCTTCAGAAACCTAGGAGAAATGTTCAGTTCAGGAGTTCAGGCTGAAGTTGGACAAAGGTTTGAAGTTAAGAGAGAAAGCTGACACACAGAAAAGCATCTGGACTGTTCTAGTTTCATTTAAGCATTCATGCAGCTCTGCCTCACCCCACAAGATGACAGTTTCATAATAAGCATGTCAAACAGCAGACACAGGCCTCATTATGTGAGCAGGAAGGAACTTGTAACGATTTCCCACCTTAGGGTATCAAAGATGTCCATTTCAGTTTTGTTTAGAAACACAGAACCTTCAAAGGACCATTGTGGTTGTCAAGTATAGATAAGCATGCAAGAAATTTTTAAACCACATAGATCCACAAGATCTCTACTTCACCTAGTACTGCATAATACATGCCAAAGAAAAAACTCTTTCCTTTTAAAATGGAGAGTATTCAGTAAAACAGATGAAAAATGGGGTTGGCCCCCAGGATGGGAGCATGTGAAATCACCAAAGTTACCATTATACGCTGCTCTAGAATCCATAAACTCCATTTGCTCAGCAACACGTGTTTGGGAAGATTCAAGAATAGTCATCTTAGCAAACATGGCATCTGTCCCTAACTCCAAAATAAATGCTAAAGTATTCTTAGCTATAGAAAACTGTAAGACAGGAAACTCTGTCATGTTTCATGATGATAACTCCTTAATAAAGAGATGTGGGGGGTTAACAATGTTTTTCAATTAAAAGCCCCTAGTAATCCATCAAATGTGGAGGTATTCATATGTCCACGCACAGTGTGAGAGGAATGTGCTAAAAATGTCATAGCTGTAGAGCAATTGATTGCACCACCTTTGGAATTACCAGCCATTGTGTAATTGTTTTTCTCACTATATTATTATAATGCTGTGTGCATGCATTAGATGTGATGAAGACCTATAAAACACAAATTACTTCATGTTCACCTACCTACTTCAAACTAATGCCCTTGTAAGAGTCTCCTCAAGCAACCTTGAAGATGCTTCATTTCAGGAACTGCAGATGCAGTGCAAGATACAGGGTGAAATGATTTATCCCTCAACAGCTTGGAAGTTCCCTTTTCACACTGTGGGCTCATGCTTTCTAAATAGTTAATAGTTGTTGTGAGATCAGTCCTGGAAACATTACAGTTGTACAAGAAGAAAGATATGTATTTTTTCACATTAATCTCATATTCTTCAATAGTAATGAGTGGCATACAAGCTGGTCCTGAAAGTTCAATTTCAGATTAAACTGACCTTTGAGACTGAGTGTCCATTAAAGTTTAAGATTTAAAAATATATGTGTAGCATAAAAAACCTAAATCATTAATGTGATGCACAACATCCAATGTGAGAAAACCATTAACAAATATTTCAATAAAGCACATTCATTTCTAAATCTCCATAAGAAAACCTTATTACAGCAGTAATCCACCCTGTAATACCTTCCCCTAGCGCTAAAAGTAAACTGGATGAAAATCATCTCAGAGGTGTGTGTAAGCATACCTTCCTTTGAGCAGGAGCATATTAAGTTTTATGACTGAGCTTCATTTGTTAAATAGTCCACAGAAGATCTCAAGCAGTCGAGGCATTACTGCTCTGAAAATAGATGTGATTTTCCAAAGCTTTGCTTTTCAGATGTAGTCCTACTTCTCCTTCAGACCTAATAACAATACAAAATAATCTATTCCTCTTTGAAAAAATAGATTAAAAAAATAGTTTGCAAATTATGCTGTTGACTGCATGCACTGAGGAAATTCTATCAGCTCGCCTAAGAACCTCCTAGTAGCCTGGTCAGATTGGTGTTCTGCTGTGTAAAACCCTACTGTAAAAAGTGCTTCCTGTCTCACAGACCATATGCTGGGATCCAGGACAGCCTTTGGAGATCTAAGAAAGTCTTTAGCAGTGTAAATATAAATTGCAGTCCTCAGAAAATCACACAGCTCTTGCTTGAATCTGCAAAGAGCTTAAGGTTACAGCATTACATTACAGCTAACATTTGGTCATTCCTGAAATGAATGGGAACCCCTGCCAGTATGACACAACATTGTCAGTCTCATGTGCAAGCCCCTCTGATTTCAACAGTCCAGATCCTAACCAGTGGCTTAATACAATTGAAATTGTGAGAGCACACCTTCCAGATGGGGTGCTGCAAAAGGCATGGCCATTGCATTGCCCCCAAATATGCCAAATGATGGAGAGGATACACCATTCCTGCTGCTTATAGAAAATCTATCTCAGTTTTCATCCCTACTTGAGAAGATCCTAAACCATGTATCTGATTGCAGAGCCTTCCCTCCTCTTTTTTCACCTGCCCTGGTAAGACAGGGACTTCTTTATTCTTGGGTTTTCCTGTTGTGGATCCACTTCCTATTGAATATATCAAAGCAAAGTGGGGACAGATAGTGAGTGTGAATGTGTCCATCTGTCATACTGAACTAGTCCCTGTGTATTGACATCAGACATTTTATCAAACGACTGTTTAATGTAAAATACACCTTGTGGGAAGAATAAGGCAGACTGTCTGCTCTAAATTCCAATTGCAGATTTCAAGGTATGAATAAGTTAAAGGAATTTGATTACAGTGACCTATATTCAGACTGTTCATTCAGTTACATCAGTCCAAAACTGCACTGCAGGATGTCTGGTGCCATATGCTGCTTTCCAGCATGCCAGTTGATGAGGCAGTCAGTAAGGTATTGCACTACTAAACTGCTTCTCCTGGGAAAAAAGAAGGAAAGAAGATGGGAGGAGGGAGGGAGGGAGGGAGCTAGAGAAGGAGGAAGGAAGGATTCCAGGAAGGAAGGATTCCAGGAAGGAAGGAAGGATTCCAGGAAGGAAGGAAGGAAGGAAGTTTTTCACACACTTTTTGATGTTTTTCATCACCAGTTTGTGAAAGTGTCAGATATCAGTAACATCCTCACAGCATTACTGCGGAGCTGCACGGGCTAGCAGACTTACTACTGTTCTTGTAGCAAATATTGTGCTCTTGGACTGTCTGCCCTCCCTGACAACTTTCACTTTTTAATGCAGTTTAATGTAAGTTTAGTCAAAAACTAGTCCTTGTTTCACGATTGATGATTCCTGTCTCTGCTTAGAAATCCATCCATTGTGAGAGCGTAGACTCCTTCTGTTTCTACAAAGTGTGTTTGTCACAGCATTCCCTGCTTTCGTTACCTTTTTTTCCCCCCTTTCTGTAACTGTTCTGCTTTGTTTAGGTTCTTTTCTGTAATTTTATGCAAAGTAAACTAAAAAATATTGCAAAAGATAAATAAAAATCTTAAGTGTATATTTCACATCCAAAGATGAGAAGGCAAGTTTGAATAATCTTTGAGATGTAGCATGAAATCCTGCTAAAACTCTGGCAAGCCACCAGCACTTTCAATAATACCAGTATTGTATTAACCTGTCAGAGAACTTCACTCTGACTTTTTACACCAGGTAATTGTTCCTGTGGTTCTGCTGGCTCACCAGGGTTTTCACCTTCACCAGGGTTTTCACACCACATGGTTTTCTCACTTGCAGAAAATGGTCATTAAATCTGTCTCTGAGACCTGTAGAGGTCTCCAATAAGATACACACTTGTCTAGAGCTCTTCCTGTAATTTATTGCACCCATTCCCTCATTCCCAGGGAGTATAACGTTGGAATTGCTCCTTTATTCCCAGGAACATATCAAAGTAATGTAAACCTAGGCCGTGCAGAGGTTTTGGAGGAATAGCTGCATTCCCAGAAAATTCTAGGAAAACAATGCTGCAATTCCTACTCATTGCCTCGTCCTGTCTTGTTATTACACACCTCTCCTGCAGAGATGGCCAACATATTTGGTGGGGAAGGCAGGAAGAGGTCACTGAGATACACTTTCACTAAGGTTAGAAAAACTCAGGTTGCTTCACTGCAGATTTCTCAGGGGAACAATGCAGATCCCTCCACTGTAAATGAATTGTGTTTTCTAAGATAAAGCAACATTTTGATGATGATTCCCAGTTATTAGAAGAAATATACAGCATGTCAGTAAAGCTAATATTTTAATCAAGTGCTTTGTTGAACAATTAAGCTATTTGTTTTTTCTCTCTGGACTTAAGTAAAGGGGGAAACAAAAAATAAGGCTTTTCTGTTTGAATTCTCTTCAATTTTATTTTGGCTGAACAAGGAAGAAAACGGGGCCTTAGTAAAGCCAGTTTTATCATTTCAACTAGTACACAAATATTTGACTTTTGCATGAAACCTGATGACACTAAAAGTGGTTGTTAAAGAAAGGAAATCTCATATCAGTTGCCAGCATTTTTAGCTAAGGCAGCATTTACACAAAATCTGTTATTTTTATTGTTATTAGCAACCTTTTTTGGGTCCCAAGCTTTCCACAAATTTATTTTTCTGCTTTTAGGAATCTATAGGAAATCAAAACTCAAAACATTATGAGAAAACAAAAAGTATTAATATTTTTGCGTATATAAGTCATATGGAAAGGTAAGCAAGTCACATAATTTTATTCCTAGAACTATTCTTAATAGTACTGCATATTTAAGCTGAGGAAGGCATTATAAATTAGGCCTAGACACAATATACTTATTAAGTTTAATTTTTTATAAGTTCATATTTTCTCAGAAAGTATAATCAAGCAATCTGTCTTATTTTCAACGCAGCAGATAAAAATAATCTCTTAGTGTCGTACAAAGAAAGAATTGTACAAATACTTCATCATGCATATTTGCACAAAGCTTTGCTAGCAGCACCTCTTCATCTACAAAGCAGAATTGCTTCACAACTTAGTTTGGGAATTTTATTTTCCCTTCATCCAACAGAGGTATCCTCAATAATTAATGTTTTGGTCAGAGCTCCCACAGTTATTTAAAAATACCACAAGCACTTTATTACTAATTGAAAAAGTAGATAGCATGTGTCCTTGTTTCAGCAGCCTTTATTTATTTGGTGGACATTTTTCATCAACTAACAAACATTTTATGTTTGAAATGCTGCATAATTGAATGTTCCCTGTCTGGAATGTTAATACTTGGCATGAAGAAAAGGAAGTCAAAGTGGAAAAAAAAAAAAAGTAACATTTCTTTGACTCTCATCTCAGTAGCACCAATTAGCTACATGAATTTTCCATCTGGTTTCACTAAAGAATACGTGAACAGCTGCATCCTACAGGAAGACAACCTGATGCAGCCAAGAGAAACTGTCAAGCACCTGGTCATTTCCTGATACCAGCTCCACTACTGCTGCAGATGTCAAATCACACTGGGTTTGCCAGCTAGCTTTGCACAAACTCTACTAAAAAATTGCCACTGGTTTGCTTTCTCTTAGTGAAATCTCTTTGCTATTGATCTAAATGGTTTGTATTTATATTTTACTTCATGTCCATAGGACTGGACAGCAAAACACTGTATGTCTGGAAATTTATGGGCTTCACAGTCTCTAAACAATAATGACACCAAACTAATGCTGCAAATTAAAAAGAGATTAATGATTTTATTTGGCATGGTCTAACGCTGCTGTTAACTGGCAATATATATTGTGTTGGGCAGTTGCACCTAATCTATTTATTTTCATGGTGGAATATCTATCACTTTGGCCTTATGTTTCACAGAATATCACGCAAACTTTCTCATTCCTCAAATTTAAAAGGAAACGCTATTTTAGACCCTCTTCCTCCCCACCACACCACCCTCCTGGGAAAAGAAAATAACTATTACAGAGATGGATAACTTCAAAATGTCTGACTAGTTGACTTACAGAAATGGAAGTACTGACATTTTCAAGTCTTTTGCATGAAGCACGAAGTTCCTTGCAAAATACCTGGACTGTTTGCAACTGCCTCCTGCCAAAATTCTTGAGGGAATACCTTTCTCCTTCTTCATTGTTGAAGCAATCTTCCTAATCACATGGCATTGTTCGGCTCTCTGTCTGAATCAGTGGAAGGCTTATATGGAGATAAGACCATCTGTGGTGTTAGGCAGAGAGTGAGAATGCTTTCTGGAACTGTCAGGGGAACTAGATTTCTAATCTTTTTAAACTCAAGGATTGTGAACCCTGTAACTTTGACCTTTCTTATCAGGAGATCACCTAACTGTAAAAACTGCCTGCCTTATTAAATGTGCTGATACCATGCCTGGGGTCTGCAGAGCAGTGAATACAAAACCATCTTAAAGACCATCCTTTACAATGGCTTCTAATATCTATAATCCTTCTAGTTCCATACGGTCCAATAAATTTTCTTTCTCCCCAGTTTCTCCAGTAATTATGTAATACAACTGTTACAAGATAGGTTTTGTTATTGTACATGCATGCACGCACTGCAAATGCAGCCAGGGTTTGCTAGCAGAGCTGTGCCCAGAAACAGGGAGGATCCTTGAACAAGCAGTGCTCTGTGAAGGTCTCTGTTCCAAAGACTGTGTGTGTGTTGTCCTCCCAAGTCATCAGCAAACACAGACTCACAAAAACAGCAAGGCCACATCTGTGGGAGCCTGGGCAGGCTCTGGGGGTGGCCTTATCTGAGTTATGCTGGCACAACTGAATCACTGCAACCCAAAACTTGTGTCTGGCCAGCTCACACTGGGACCTGCAGTGCAGCAGGGGCAGCCTCTTCGTGCCACTAGACTGGGAGGGACAGCTTTCATGACACAAATGCTTTACTGTCCCTCATTCCTACACAAAAATTTGTGCATCTCCTGCACTTTCAACAGGGAATTGAAATACGACCAAGGGCCTTAGCTAATTGCAGGTGCTTATCCCATGAAAGCCACAGCATAAGTTTAGAGCATTTCAGGACACTTTGTTAGTTCTGGGTGGGCTGTTTCATCTCACTCCTGTGTTCACACCTGTCCCCCAAGCACCTGTCCCTCATTTTTTTCCTTTCGCAGTTGAGAGCTATGCCCATAAAATGGCATAAAATGCCCAATTATTTGGATTCCGATTGATGATGTTTTAAGTAAAACTGAATAAAGAATGGGAAATGCATATGATTGGTATGCAGCAAACTAAAGTTGTGATAGTGATTATTAAAATTCAGCACTCACAAGACTCACAAGATAAAAGCAAGTTCTTTTATGGTATGTTTTCCTAGTCCTCAAAATATCCAAATATCTGTATCTATGAAAAAGTACCGACTTTTTAATATAAATATATAACTTTTAAAGATAGTATCTGAAGCTAAAACTTCAGATATTTTTAAAAACATATTTAAAGCCTTGAAGATAAGCATATAGATGACTAATTTTTAGATCTTGAACTACTAGGTTTTCTTTTTATGATGATTTTTTTTAATCAGAATGTAGAAACATATCATTTACGTGTATATTCTCTCTTCATAATCCATTCTGTTGCAGACTATCTCCATTGTTTGTCTCTTGCAGGCAATTGCCCTTGTCAATAACTATAACATGACAAAATTACACTTTAGATCTGAGAATAGAAGATTATAATAGGAGATTCTGTAATTAATTTTCAGAGCTAATATCCATAAACTAAAGATTAAGCTTCAGCAGATATTCTTATTCATTATTGGAGCTATTTGTGCAAGGTTTATTCTTGGCTCACATTCAACACGTTCTACACTTGCCTTATCTGTATACAGGCTCCTGTTTCAAAAGATTTATAATAGGTGTACCCTTGTCTATAAAACCAGTTCCTGATATTTAGCTTTTGAAAATCTGCATTTGTTCAGTAATTTCCCAGCTCTATCTTACCCTCCTTAAACACCTCTCAAGCACCTAGTCATTATTAGTATCCCGTAACAGTGTAACTCTGTTTTTAAGACTCTTTTATGATGACAAAATCCCTGATAAGGACTCCTAGTATATCAGGCTTTATCACTATAACCCCTGCTGTAACAGCATCCCTCTACAACACACAAACAAAGAGCCTTTTGAAAATTGTTTCAGGTTGTGCAAAGTATCCATTAGACAGACACATAAAGTACATCGTATGTCCACACTGGATAGCAAAAGAGAATTGGACATCATGGTAAAAGCAGCTCCTTTTTTTTGGTGAAGATCTGTCCAACTGAATCATTTGGTTTTACTTACTGACTCACTGGATGAACCAAATCCTGCAAAGCAGAGAATTGTGTCAGACAGAAATTATGAACAATAATTCATTTAATTATAAGGTGAAACACAGACAGCTGTATTACCCTGCACTGCTTTATTCAGAAAACAGAAGGATAGCGAACCTGTTGAGGGAAATTTATTTTTATTTCTTCTGGTGTATAATTCCACCCTTTTTGCAGTCTTTAAACTCTTCATATTTTGTCATGTAGTAAAAGTTCATACTCTGAAGCATCAATCTGCATATGTGTCTAGATACAAAGCAAAGCTCTTTTAATTCCATAATTGCCACTACATAAAATACACACACAAATATATAGCATCAGACACCAAGTTCTTCAGTGTTTCCCATCAAGTGTAGGGCTCTGCTGGGAGAAGTGTTGGACTAATAGGGAAATATTTAATGCATTTCTTATTAAATAGATTGCCCTTCATTTAATCCTCATGGTTGCTGGCAGGCTAAAGGCTAGAAGCAGCAATAACACACCATCAGGGAAAGGTGGATAAGAGGTGCTGGAATGCAAAACTGTGTATTCATGCATGTGGAAACATACCAGGAAAAAGAGAGAGCCAAGGAGAGAGAATGAGTGCAAGAGTATAGAGAAAAAAAAGACAATGGTCATTCAAAGGGTGGGAGAAGCAGTGGTTGAGGGAGCAGCTTATTAGCAGCAGACCATTCTGAGAATCTCCACTGGGGAAACAGAAAGTGCAGCTTCAAGGCATTGCTGTGAAAACCATTGGCTGTGGTGTCAGTTTTGATGTGGTTCTGTTTGTGTCTGCAGCTGTGGCTGCTTATGCTGCTCACATCACTCCCACAAGCCTGAGGAGAAGGCAAGCTTTTCGGTAGCATTGGGTAGGTGCAAAAAAACAGTCAACAGAGCCAGTGTACTGAGACGGGGAAGGAAACTTTTGCCTATGAGGATACGTCAAGCCTGCCCCACTAGCAAATCATTTAAACCACCAGAACAACAGCTTAAACTCCTCCAAGCAATAATGTGCTGTGCTGTGCTGTGTTGTGCTGTGATTTAGAATGTCTTGAGTACAGAGGCTTGTACCAGAAATTGTCAGCATCAGTGAAAATGTGTGATGTTGGATTGGAGGATTTGTGCTAATTCTGTGAGTAAAGCTTTATACAGGAAACTGCATAGCTTTATCATAAACATTTCTTAAGGAAGAAGGTGAAAAGATAGTGCTCAGTGACTAATTTCAGACACTACAAACCAAGAGAAAGAAAAAAGATACTCAGTGGATGTCAAATATGTTCATATCAGCCAACCAGTTTTTGGGTTTTTTTCCAGTTTCAGTGATATAATTATTATATAAGCAAAATCAAACATTATAAATTAATTTCTCATTCTATTAATCAAAGCAGTGGGACCCAAGGTATGACTAACTAGCTATGTGTAAATGACAGAGACTAAAAGAATTCAAATTAATTAAAAAGAGGTGAAAACATGAATTGATAGTTTTTCCATGGTTGCAACTTTTTCTTATCACCTTCTATGTTCTTTCTTGATGCACTCATGTGTAAAATAATGCTGCTGCTTGAATCAGTCTTCCAAACTCTTTTCAAGTTCTACTGTGCACTCCAATCTTCAGCGACAAGCACTTAAACAAAATGTGCTGTGCCTCTGGATTTACTGTGAACCTCTTAAGAGATTCTTCTGGTCAGCAAGCTCACTTGAAAACTTGACAATCTGGCTTTTTTTTTAAGTTGTAGAGGAGCTAAATTAAAATAACTGGAGAAATCAAACATAGGAAATTAAAGCAACAAATCAAGAGAGGAAGGGTGAACAGAATTAAATGGTCAGTGATTCAACTGATAGCATCTCTGATCATGGATACTTGATGTGAACTTCACACCCCTTACAAAAGTACTGCCAGTACTTCAGTAAGATCATCATAGCATCTTAATACACATAGTAGGACTAAAAATAATCATGTGGTTTTTTCTGACTTCATATTTATGTAGTGAGATAACTGAATATAAGCTATATCTTTAAAGAGATTTCCATGTAACATTATTTCTGATGTGACCTAACAGGAAGTAGACAATAACAGAACTGCATCCAGATATATTTTTTCCCCTTGAAACCTATTTAGAGCCCATTTATTTAAGCCATAGCCCTGGTTTCATAGTCCTGAAACTAATTACAAACTTGGTAAATAATTTTTTACTACAAAACCTCAAACCTAAAGCTAAACAGGCAATCTTCAAAGTAGGCTTCAAAAAACCAAGGAAGACGTATCAATGGTACCTATGCCCTTTTTTTTATTTTGTGGGTTGGTGATATGGGTGCCCACCTGAGACCACCTCTCCCATCTCCCTGATGAGCATTTCACATGGCATCTCTTGCAGCACATTGCTTCTGTCAACATTCCCATGTGGTCCATGTTCATATTTTGTCAGCCTTACTGCTGTGTCGGCGCAGTGGCCTCGATTCGGTCACATCCAGCAGAATAGTGTCACCAACAAGGCTGGGAGCAGCTCTGCCCCACAGCCCAGCCATGTGTCTGGCACATGGGAGTGCCCCTGGGCACTCCAAGCTCTCAGAGACAGGAGAGGATGGAACCCACGCCTCGTCTCAGCCATCGAGCAGACCGGTCCCCAAACTAGCGGATGAATGAAGCTGCTGCTGCAATGACATCAGTGATAAAAACCCTCCCAACAAAAGCAGGCTCTACTCAATCTGAAGCAGAGCGTGTGAAGTTTTCCTCTCTTCAGCCCTGAGCCTCCAGACCTCCTTACCCAGGCTGTAACAACATTGTGTTATCCTTTGGACGCACGCTCTCAAATAGCTGTGGTTAATCACTTGACTTTTTAAGTACTCCATCCATCACCCAGTGCCAACCCCAGGCCTCCAAAGTCAGCTTTCTGCAGCTCACCGGGATTATCACCCTCTTCGA